ACATAAGTCTCAAGTACAATAAACTCACAGAACAAAGCACCAATGAGCTATTTGTGAACATTTCTTGACAATAAAATCCAGCTAACAAAGATGAACTAAAATAGTATTTCACATGTGGAAAAAGATTCGTGGGCACTGAATCCATAATATACAGAAATACTCAAAAACTTATAATTATCTCTGAACAGAACATAAATGTGGTGGGGAGAAGAGGATAGAGAAAGATAGCAAGAGAACAAATAGGCAGGGTGTTAGTGGGAAACAGATATGGCTTATTACCTGTTGATGATGACGTGTATAGTATTCTCAACTGGATTGGTCTGAGAAGTATTTCATGACGGGTAAAGTCTTTTTACAAGCAAAATGAGAAATATGATTGACTGTTTAAAAAAATAATTGGAATAATAATAAAGATTGGGAAAAACAATGAAAAGATATTGAATGATGAAGTGGGGAGATTAATGTCTCTGTATTGACTGACATGCATGGCATTCCCTTTTGAAAAAGCAATGTAATATATTATAAAGTTATATGTAATCCAATGTAATATAAACAAGATTATGATAATAAAAAAATAATTTCTTAAAAAGAACATAAATGTTAAACTTTGACACTAAAAATGACATGGGAAATATGAGACAAGAAATAATACTGAGAATGTACATTTCTACAGCTGTCATAGCAAATATCAATATTATATATAATTGGGGGAAGTATAAAAGACTTCCCTACTCCTGATGTTTTTTTCCTTTTTATTGAATTAAAAAAAAAAACTTTAAGATTTTATTTCATTTTATTTATTTTTTGAAGTTGATCATAGAGAGACAGAGAGAGAGAAGGAAAGTGAGAAAGCAAGCTGCCAGATCCAGGACTCAAACCATGGTCAGCCATGTGGAAGTTTACCCGCCCTAACCACCATGTCACCTGCTGGCCCCTTTTTATTGAATTCTTGAAGAAACTTTAAAGATAAAATATTCTGTGGTAGAAAAGTTTATGAATATTTCAGCAATTCATTCAGTTTCACTTTAGGTCTTTTTGTTTTATTAAGATCCAGTAAAATTAAAATCAATTATTTTATGAGTAGCTCCTCTAGTATGGTTTATCTTGTCAAATTGTATATAAATTTGTGTGTGTGTATGAGGCCAAAAGTCTGACTGCATTTTCCTATCTCCAAAATCCCTTGCATAGTGCGTAGGGTGAGTCATGCCCACAAACATTAACAGACCATTTTGGTCCAGTTGATAACAGGACTCTTCCTACAACCTGTCCTTGGGACAGTATCTTGTGATATATCCAAACCCCCTTATCTCTGCTAAAGTACACTCTTTGCTGATCCCTTACAAAACACAGACCTTCCTTTCCAATCGCTAGCCTAAGAATTGTAAAAGCTACCTATGGCCTACAAGCCTCTGCTTCCAGATGTCCCACCTTTTGGGGCCAGACCAATGGGAAATTCTTTTCACTAAATTCTAAATCTTGTCTCTCACTTTCAGAACCAAATAAAATGAACCCCTGTATCTGACCACCCTGAGAAAGTTATGTTTATCTTTCTCTGGGCCTGGTCATACACATTCATGTTTAGAAATAAACCACATTAATTATTATTTCTGCAGAGTTGATCATTTCAATCAACATGTACATGATAACTAGAAAGAAGGTCATCATTTAACATGAATAATGATAATATCTAGATGGATGGAATTGATTTTTATGTTCTTGATGGTGTGTTTTTCTGCTTAGTCTAAATTTTTTATTATGTGCATGTATCACTTTAATAAGCTAAGTCATATTTATTAAGAGTTCTCAAAATAAGCCAAAATTAAAACATGCACACAAAGTACATTTTGTACCTTAGAGTAATGTTCAAAGTCAAACTGTAATTGTGAACTAGAACAATTACGGCAGGTAACAAAGCAGAAACCAGAAGATAATATTAGGATCACTCT